TCATGAAAGGACCTGATGATGTTAAGGAGTCAAGGTGGACATCCAGTCTTGGGAAGTATTTTTAAAAGGCCATTTCTGCTAACCAAATCAAAGGCCTTTGTGAGGTCTATGGAGGCCACAAAGAGTGGCTGTTGTTCCCTACTATGACCACCAAAGAATTGATGCTTTTGAATTGTGGTGCTGGAGGAGACTCTTGAGAGTCCCCTGGACTACAAAGAGAACAAACCTATCTATTCTGAAGGAAATCAACCCTGAGTGCTCACTGGAAGGACAGATCCTGAAGCTGAGGCTCCAATACTTAGGCCATTGCATGAGAAGAGAAGACTCCATTGAAAAGACCCTGATGTTGGGAAACTGTGAAGGCAAGAGGAGAAGGGAATGACCGAGGACGAGATGGTTGGACAGTGTCATTGAGCTACCAACATGAATTTGACCCAACTCCGGGAGGCAGTGGAGGACAGGAGGGCCTCGCGTGTTCTGGTTCATGGGGTCATGAAGAGTTGGACACAACTTAATGACTAAACAACAACAACCATGAAGAAGGTAGAAAGGGCTACATTTCCTAGGCAGAAGAACTTGAACTTGAATGTCCAATGGGTGACAGCTGACAGGAGGTCTTCCATGCTCCTCATATTTCTGGAGGTTCAATTCATTGTACTTGTGTTTCTTCAGTAAAGCATCAGGTGGCTTTTGATATTTGCTTTCCTGCCGAAAATCTGCATGCAAAAAAAGGGGAAAAATAAGGAAAAGGGGAAATAAAGATGGAGTTTAAGGATTCCATACTGAATAAATCATCTTTAGGGGCTTTTCTTCCTTTCCGTTCCAAGATTCTCCCTGTTCATCTCAAGATGTCCGGTTAGATGCCCTGTAGGAAAGCATTACTCTGTCAGCCAATATCCCCAATCTCATTCTGGCCTGTTTCCCATTGCATTTTACAGGTTCGAGACGGGTGTGATTCTTTTCCTCCCAGGTGACATACCATGTGTGGTGATCTTCCCTTGTCGCCCCTATTTATTTGGCCTTCACAAGGGATCACACCCTTCTTCCTTCACACTGCCACTCTTCTCCTAATACCAAAGAAGTTATACTCGTGTGCTGCCAAAACTAAGGGTTATAGAACTTAGGAATCAGAGGTTTAATTAAATGGTTCAGAATGCGGCAGCCAGGCTCCTCAATGGAGTGAGGAAATATCAGCATATATCCCCCACCCTGGCTGCTCTGCATTGGCTGCCCATTCGTTTCCGCATTGACTTTAAAGTATTAACGACGACGTATAAAGCCCTAAACAGTTTGGGCCTCGATACTTGGCAGAGTTTCTTCTCCCACCTAGTTCTACCCGAATCACCCGACAAAGTTAGCAGGGACGGCTGAGGGGCCTAATGCCGAGAGAGGCCCAGAAAGAAAGAACAAGAAACCGGGCCTTCTCAGCAGTGGCCCCTCAGCTTTGGAACAGCCTCCCAACGGAAATTCGTCTGGCACCCTCGCTGGATGTTTTTAAAAACCATTTGAAAACATGGTTCTTCAGGCAGGCTTTCCCACCAGTCAATTAAACGCATCTTTATTTTTTCTTTTTTAATCTTTCCATCTTGGTAATGCTTTTATATAGCTGCAAACATTTTTAATGCCCAATGTTTTTAAGATGTTATTTGTTATGTTTTTATCTATGTAAGCCACCCTGAGTAGACCTGGTCTAGAGGGGCGGGGTATAAATTCAATTAAAGTAAATATAAGTAAAAGTAATTAAGTATTCCTTAATTGTCAAACAAATCATAAAGGTAAATCACATAAGATCACTTAAGAACTGTATCAGGTTTTAACACGGATTGGATTATGTATGCAATCACTTTTATTCCAATAACTATGTACTTTCAATCAATATCTTTCTGGTAGTACTAGTAACTTCATTCATGCTTGTTCAATATCTTTAATCTCCATTCCCTCGCCTACTCAGCTCAACTCAAATCCCTAACTTTCTTCTTCTCACTGCTAAACGCTAACTGCCATTCCACATCTCCAACTGTCTCTCTCTGTCTAACTCCGCCCCTCCTGCCCTATCCTTGGCTCCTCCCCGTTGAGCTTCTGTGATGGACAGGCAGGAATGACGTCACCTTTTGGCATTTCGCTACACCATCGAACCCAACATCAGATTACCATTGAAGAGAAAGAAGACAGAAATCACCTCAGGAAATTACGACAATTGTAATAGAAGACTTTGACATTGTAGGCTGGATGGCTGTTTATCAGCCATCTGGTGCAGCTGTGCATCAAAGTGAGGCCTGCTGATGAGGCAGAAGGCTGAGGTGATTCATATGAGTTCACCTGGGGTGAGATTAAAGTTAGCTGAATGGTTACCTCTACTACGATTCTACAGAGGAAGACAGATGTGGCGTGGAGAGTGTGGAGATTTCCTGGAGGACATGCTGTTGGGGCACTTTGTAAAAAGACTGTACATACTGCAATGTAAGCTTCAAAGAAGAAGCTGATGCCTCATATTTTTCTTCTCTGAGAGGACCTTGGGGGCTGGTGGTACCCCTGCTTTGCTCAGCGCACCCCACAAATACGTGACACAAGTTCTGCGTCCAGCACGCTTCCGCTGCAGAAGAAAGCGTGTGAGTCACTGGCGAGTGACTTGTGGGTCCTGAGGGAGTCCAGAAGTGCTGGGAGCTTTCAGGGGCCCAGAGGAGGTGAGAGTTCCTGCCTGTCAAGACCAGGAGAGGAAAGAGGATGGCTAGAGACAGAAGGAAACTAACTTAGAGTTCAACGCTGCAATCTAACTCAGCAGCAATGGGAGGATTTCCTCTAGTAAAGTTAAATGGTAATAACTACATGTCATGGTTCTTAAAAATGGAGGTGTTTTTGAAAAGAGAGAAAACCTGGACTGTAGTTGAAACTCCACCTGATGACC